CCGATGATATGGCATTCTCTGCCACATACATTAAGGACGTTTCAGAGGCGACCAAGCGCATTACTGTGGGACAAGGTATCGGAATTGCACACCAACGCACAACTATCATGCACGGCAGTCATAAAAATCAAGAATCGATTAAATCCTAAAGGGCAGCCTTGGGTAGTGTTTGCGATCCTATGTTTAAACTGTCTTCGCAATTACGCGGGTCAGACTAAACGCACGCTCGAACAGCACATACACGAACATAAGTTGGCTGTGCGACGAGGCGACGAATTATCACACATGGCTGCCCACACCTTCGAAAGGGGTCAAGAGTTCAACTTCGTAGCCGTCAAAATAATCGCCCACGCAGGAAGCAAGAACCGATTGAAGGCAGGACCTCGGGTAAGAACTCGACCAGTCGCCGTGTTTACACAGCGTTGGCCTACACAGCGCTGTGCATTAACCTTCAGACCTGTTCTGCCCGTCGTTGATTGGCTAACATCCCCCACTTTAACTGCCGCTTCTCTGGGTATTGCTGTTATCTCGGAACATGGACTCCTGTATGAGTTCTAAAGCCCAGAATAAATAAGTATTCCAGGTGCTGGACCAGTGTCTTTACTACTCATTGGTGTTTACTGTTCGCAGAAACTGTCAGGTTGACAACAGCGTCACAAAGAGGAAATTGTTATGCTCGGTGACGGTTTCTGGTCCTGCTGCGGTAGAAATGAAAGCACCGTAATGCTGCTCGAACCATGAACTGTTTTGTCACTAAGAGGCACCTCCACGCTCCAGCATGCGATGAACGGCGTTTCCTTCTAAAAAAAGGTCGCCTCGCATGCTCACCGCCTGGTCTACTGACAGAAGACCGGACGTGTCAGTTTTCACCAACGCTGAATGACGGAGGAACAAATGCAGGTATTACGACATGAGGCCTCATTCAACACAGCCGCTGCCAAACCTGCCAACATGATTGCAGCAGTGGAATCAATCCTCAGCCAGACGGGAGTGACAGACGAAACGAAGAACCTCATTTGTCACCAAGTGTCATCTCTCCTCATGGCTCATAGGCCGAGCGACGTGCTTTCCAAGGTCGAGCGCGATGCACTTAAGGAGCTCAGGGCCGACAACGATCTCGTTATCGTGCCTGCGGACAAGGGGCGTTCCACAGTCGTATTGGACTGGACAGAATACAATCAGAAAGTCAAAAGTTTGTTAGAGGATCGTCAGTCTTATGCCCCATGCGAATCCAACCCCCAAAAAACGCTGACAAGCGAGATTAACGCGACACTGTTGGCAATGGAGAACTCAGGTGCAATATCGCCAATCGACCGACGCATGGCGAGAGCACAAGAAACGGCCCCAGCCCGATTCTACGGTCTCCTAAAAGTGCACAAAGAGGGCTCTCCTCTTCGGCCTATCGTATCACTAAAGGGCACTCCAACCTACGGGCTGGCAAAGTGGCTGTTCCGACGTCTCAAGTTTCTGACCTGCGATTCTAACACCACACTCAGATCGTTAATGCAATTCTGGGAGAGACTTAGAGGGGCAAGTCACCTACCAAGCGATGTCATGGTTTCATTTGATGCCACGTCCATTTTTTACTTCCATTCCACAGAATCTGGCAATCGAGACCATCGAACTACTTCTACGAGAGAAATACGAAAAAATGGAGAATCGCCTCGGACACACACAAAACATCCAGCTCCTGAAGTTTTGTCGCTGGACGGAACAATCTACGAGCAGGTGAAGGGAACGCCAATGGGTTCGCCGATTTCAGGACTCATAGCCGAGGCAGTCCTACAACGGCTGGAGTCGCTGGTTTTCCGACACCACAGAACGAAATTTTGGGTTCGGTATGTGGATGACACCTTCGTCGTCATCGAACGGGATCAGGTGCTGACATTCAAAAAACATCTCAACGCCGCCTTCCCGGACATTCAATTTATGATGGAGGAGGAGGAGGAGGAGGAGGAGGAGGAGCAGGAGGAGGAGGAGGAGGAGAAGGAAAAAAATCAGCTGACCTCTCCGGATGTCCTCGTCTGCCGCAAAGATTGTGGTGGCCTAAAAACCAGTGTTCAGGAAAGCGACAAATACGACGCAAATACTGAACTTCAATAGCAACCACCCGATCAGTCACAAACGCAGTTGCGTAAGGGCGCTATATACCGGCGCGTTGAGACGCACTGCAGTGAAATGGAAGACAAGGTGGCTGAATTACAATATCTTCGACGGGTAATGAGAGCCAATAGCTACCCGCGCAACTTTGTCAACCAGTGCACACGAAAACGAAACCAGGGACCAAATCCAACCGGCCCCAAATTTTGGCGGCCTCTTCCGTACGTGGAGAACGTCCCGGAAGCCGTCAGTCGTCTTCTCACTCCAGTTGGAGTTGGAGTTGCACACAAGTCGGAGGCAACCATTAGGCGCCAAGTCATGAGGCCAAAAGACACGCTGCCACGACAGGAAACGTCTGGAGTCGTTCACCGGATTTGGTGCAGTTGCGGACAAAGCAACTATGTCGGAGAAACTGGGAGATTACTCCGTACGCGAATTGCCGAGCACGCAGCAGCAGTGAGGCGGGGAGACGCTAGCTCTCAGATGGCGGCTCATTCGACGGGACCCGGTCATATTTTCAAGTTTCGAGAGGCCGAAATCCTCGCAAGGGGTGACAACCGCGTGAGCCGCGAGCTGCTCGAGTCATGGTTTTCAGGCCCGCAATCCATCAACAAGCGCAATGACCTCCCAGTACCATATTCCGTGCTGAGATTTTCCCTGGGCAGGGGAATGAGTCATGTGGGAAGGTCGCGGGCGAGCAATTATCCCAGTGACAGTGAGCCAATTTGCCGAGCAATCGTCACACCAGCATCCAGCACGGATGAAGAAATCACGACAATTAATGACTCGGACGCGGACTGACAGGCCACCATAGCATCAATTACGACCCTTGCGAGAGTTGTTAATTACAGTGCGCATACGGTCCCACGGCAGACACGTGCTATAAATACTGCCCTCCTGGTGCCACCATCACCTTTATCTGCGAATGTCTCTGATGATGGATTCGAGTGAAAATCCGAAACGTCAGGCCAATAAATTTCTTGTTCCGGTGATCACATCTTCGTCTTCTGAATGACCTTCATGTCCCGCAGGGTTCGAGATTTCGGTGCAGGGTTGGTACAGTCCATAAAGTTACAGAAAAAAGGATAATTTAAGGGGGGGGGGTTTAAGCTCACTACGGCACTTTCATACTTCAACTTTTCACATCCAGCTATCGACGCCTCTGCTGACTGACAACTGCTCATCCGCTAAATGCCCACGCCCAACTGTAAAGGCCCTTTGGCCACGTAGGTACCACATACAGTGGACTAGACAGTTTGCTCAAGCACGGGCGGTTAGGCGAGAATTTCGTCTGAGCAGATTTAGGTAAATAAACACGGAATTAGCCACTCTTCTTCTCAGGGATATACTGCAGCTATTGCTACTGAAAAGGGCGGTGTGTCGGGGGGAGGGAGGCCTGTCAGCGTGAGACACACAGTACCGGTCGTTAGGTTTTAAAGTCAAGGCAGAAAGTACAGTACTGTCAGCCTCGCATACAGAAATCAATATTTGCCGACTGCTTTGATCTCATGTGCTCTGTGAACACCAGCAGACGGGGTTTGAAACGCCAAGTGGCGCTGGGTCACGTGACGTTGATGACAGAGCACATGGCAGCCAAGTGGAAAACAGGGTGTGCATCGTGAGAGATTAGTCTGTCGTTTTCTACTTCAGTGCGTGACCGATCCCATGAAATATTGTCTGAAATTCTAAAATGCGTTTTCAATTAGGAAGGATTACTTAGGTGGGATTGTAATGTTGTCTGTCATGCGACCTAATCCTATAGTGTTTCGGACTCGCCAGGGCGTCAGCTTTTGAATGTACATATTTCCGACCTCCTGCATAAACCACACTCGGCAAAAAATGACTACTTTTCATATTGACTTTCGATGGTCTTAAAAATTGAAATATATTTTATAGAAAACATGCACAAAAATATGCTCTCTTCTGCTCATTTGGTAGAAAATCACATTATGTTCACATTTTATACTCGACGAAATGGTATTTTTCGGTTTTAGGAAAGTTTCTAATTATAAAATTTTCAAGACCGCACTATGTCCATACACACAGTATCGCACATGCCCGTTTACCAGTGCTCCTTATGAAACGTAGAACATAGTCAGCATCCATTAGAAAATTTTAATGAACTCCACATGGTATCTTCTTAAAGGCATATAGGAATATATGATTTTCCTTACGTGGCTAGCATGTACCTCGTAGACTAGAATCGCTAAATGCTAATGCAAAGGATGATCTGGCTCAAAATTATTCGGAAATTGGGAAACCTTTTCAAAACCTAGATATACGCTTTCTTCGGGCATAGTATAGTGGGACAATGTGATTCTCTACCAAACGAGTAGAAGAATATTTTGTACATGATTTCTATAAAATATATTTGAATTTATAAGACCATCGAAAGTCAATATGAAAAGTGCATGTTACGTAAGTAGTCACTTTTTGCCGAGTGTGGTTTACGCAGGAGGTCGGAAATAGGTGCATTCAAGAGCTGACACACTGGCGAGTCCGAAACACTATGGGATTAGGTCGCATGATAAGCAATATTACAATCCCACCTAAGTGATCCTTCCTAAGCGAAAACGCATTTTAGAATTTCAGCCAACATTTCATGAGGTCGGTCACGCACTGTACTTTGACTCAGAAAGGTCAAAATAGGCGGATTTACAAGGAGTCAGAGGCTAATGTCGGAAAAATAGAAGTAAAAAGAGGCAATTGCAACGAAGAAGTCGCTGTCGACAAGCAAGAGAGTGGGTAACATTTAGAACCAGATGCGAACCAAAAACGCTTCCTCAGAACAACAGCGAGGATTTCAAGCTCACTGGAAAAAATATTACCTTCAGGGAGAAATTGCGAGAAGGAAGGAAGCGGTGAGTAAATGTACCGACCAAAGCCTTGTAGACGATGCGTTGTGCTGTAACAAATTCTCCTCTCGCCTGTGTTTGAGTGGGGAACACAAACTTTATAAAGGCTGCTCTTTTCTTCAATAACTAACTGCTTGCAAGGGGCCTTCAAATGCGTCCTCCCGAGGATGGTGGCAAGAGTAGGAAGGATTCTAGTAGAACTGCCGATTTTCTCACGAATTCCCTACTGTTTAACGTGCCCTGTCCCCCGAAACCGCCCACGACGAAAAAGCCCTCTCTGATGCCTCACAAAGAGATGTGAGGAAACGCTCAGAGCACTTCAATTATGACGCGAACCTGCACTGACGTCATATGAAATGATTATTTGCTGATAAAGATGTCGAAGGTAATCGACGTTGGCTAAGGCAGGACACCCTGATTGAGGTCATCGTGTGTGTGTGTGTGTGTGTGTATTTGATACTAAGCGTCGTTCTGCCGGTGTAATTAAAAGTGCTGACCCTAGAAACCAACCCACACAAGGTAACTCCTTGGCCAGAAACAATCACGCACACGTGACAGGATAGAAAAACACAGGTCCCAGAAGGAGAGTAATTCGCAGAACGAGCCGGTTAACGCCTCTAGCAGTTGGGTCTGACGTCCATTGCCAACGTACTTGTGTCGTGCAGGTAGGAAGCTAAATTTCACACAGATTTTTGAGTGAATGCGCCATGTGGTTACCGATTTTTTTCGTTGTTTTCGCTGTCCTAGTTTCTCGGCACACGCAATAGGTGTGGTAACAGTCGCGGTGGCTTGGGGGAGAGGGTTGTTAAGACTGTGCAGTAGCGAGATGGTTGTTACCTGATGATGCCTGGCTGACCCCGCGGTAGGGTTTTGGTTACGTCCATAGCGACCCTCTCATCATTTGATCTGCGGGGGCAGTGTGGCGCAAAAGGTGGTAAGCGTGGGCGAGGTCAACACACCGGTTGACTGAACTAACGTCAAAAATCTACGTGCCTAGTGTGAGGAAGTCTACCTTGCGACTTCGCCAGCCTCGTGTAGCTAAGTCCTAGTGTTGCACGCAACCGCTTTTCACGTAGGCAAGTCTACACTTTTCGTTCAGCTTCCCCAAACGTAGTTGCGGATGCATTCACTGCAGCAGAATTTGCAAAATAAATTTCGATATTAAAGTCAACGACGGTGGAGCCATCGGCTACATCACACGGCAACGAATTGTGGCCTGGGGTCTATGGGGCATGCTAGCCCCGACGGGTTTTAACAATCGACAGGCTTCCCCAAAAACACCCTCGCTTTTGTACGATTGGTCGTCGCCTACTCCTATGGTGCCCGTTTTGGCTAACAAAACTGTCCAGATGTCTGCCCTGAGATCAGGTCGCGAAGATATAACGGTGTGCAAACTCATGAAATGTTAGACGAAATTCTGAAATGTGTTTTCGTTTCGAAAGGAATACTTAAGTACGCCTCTAAAATTAATCATCATGCAGCAGGATTCTTTAATAATCCAGTTACCTCGGGATGCCGGCTTTCAAGTGAACTTTTTTCCTGCCACATGCAAAAATCACACTGTAAAAACGACCACTTAAGTAGCATGAATTTTCCCATTGATTCTCGATGCCCTTGATAAATCCAATTATATTCCATGAAAAACATGCATAAAAATATTCATTCGTTTACTCATTTGGTAGAAAATTACGTCTTCTTCCAATTTTCTCCTCAAAGGAAGGTGCAATCGGGTTTTCGAAAACTCTTCCAACTCCCGAATTTTGAACCCGACCTGCTGTTACACATGCGTTCAGGGTCTCCAAACTGCAATTCGCATATTTTCCGTGCATGGAAAACCACACATTTCTCTACGCCATTGAGAGGAGACCATATGAAGTCCATACAATTTAGAAGTGGATTTGAGCCATATTGTAAACTGTACAAGCCACAGTAGTAAATGCTGACACGATGTTTTATGCACGGGCATTTTACGGTATTAAAAGTCTCACAATTAGGAACTTTTTAAAAACCGAATTATACCCTTCCTTAGAGCATACAATTTCAAGACGGAATTTTCTATCAAATGAGTAGACGAAGATTTTTGTGCATGTTTTCTATGAAGTATAATTGAATTCTTAAGGGCATCGAAAATCAAAGAAAACAATTCAT